TGATTCTTTCCAACCTACATCTTCCTCTGCAATGAAAAATCGAAAGAATAAAACAAACCCTTGTATGATAAAGTTTGTGAGACTATCGCGGCCCAGGTTTATTGATAAAGTGTTTTCATTCGGGCTTAATGGCTGTCGTAAGTTGGAATTTCTTCCTGACATTTCGCTAGCACGCGTGGCTAGCATCTTCAGAGGTGCTTCCATGTCCGATTCTGGTAGCAGACTGACGCATTCCCGACCGTAAGTTGAATTTATGTGTGAGTGGCTGTAGCGGGAAGGGGCGGGGCTTCGCAGTACGTGGGTAATCTGAACTTTCTCTGTACTCAATGGGATCTTTCTTGCGTTTTTGGGAATCAGGTTCCAGATTTGGTTCAATTTTAGTGTTTTTTCTTTCCTGTTGAAGCTCTCCGTATGTTTCTGGATTTCTATAGCTTCACGTACAAGACGATTGTGGTATCCGGAAGTCGGTGCAAGAAACTTGACCCCACCAAAGAGTATTTCGTGATTCCCTACACAAAGCGCATGTTCCGCAACTGCCGATTTTTTCGATTGCCCTAGTCTGCAGTTTCTTTTGTGCTCGTTCATCCTGGTTCCCATAGATCTTTTTGTCGTTTCTATGTATACCTTACCATATATGCATGGTATACGATAGACTCTAGCGTTTGACAGTGGATCCCTCTTATCCTTGGCTGATCGCATTGATTGCTGTAATTTCCTTGTTTGCTTGGAGATTGTTGTGTTTTTTCAAGACTACCTATCCTGTTTATCACCCGAGAAATGAAAGGCAGATATGCATTAGCCACCACTGGTTCTTCATCCAGGTTTTGTCGTGTGGCAGTTTTGGTACGCATGGCCCTGTCGATTTCAGATGCATTGTAACCATTTGATAGAAATTCCGACTTGTTGTTATAATTCCACGTTTTTGCCTTGGATGGTGGTTTGAGCGTGCATAGAGGTACCATCGTCACCAAAAGTATCTGGGACAAAAATAATGCATAATAATCTCCTGGACTAATTCTTCCGTCATTCATTTCAATGCATTTAATTCATAGTTTGACAATAAAATTCATATAATAGTACAAAAGCTAATATGATGCTGTCCCAGTTACTTTTGGTGACGATGGTACATGTCTGTATGTGTAGGTTTTCGGTACACCGTATGGCTTAGTTTTCCTCCAGATTTCTTTATATGCACATCTAATAAGGCAATTTCTTGGTTTTTCTCCTTTTTTATGGTAAATTGTATGCTAGGATGTTGTGCGTTCAGGTGGCGTAGGAACTCGTTAAGCTTCTCTTCCCCAATACTCCAAACCACAAAAGTATCATCTACGTATCGAAGCCATACCGTTGGGTTGCCGTCAAAAGATTCGACAGCTTTCCTCTCGAAATCCTCCATAAAGAAGTTGGCTATGACCGGGCTGAGCGGACTTCCCATAGCTACACCGTCTGTTTGCTCGTAGAAATCGCCGTTCCACAGGAAGTAACTACTAGTGACACATGGTTCACATAGGAACGACAAAAAAATCCATGGGAACCAGGATGAACGAGCACAAAAGAAACTACCGACTAGGACAATCGGAAAATTCGGCAGTTGCGGAACATGCGCTTAGTGAAGGGAATCACGAAATACTTTTTGGTAAGGTCAAGCTTCATGCACTGACTTCCGGATACCAAAATCGTCTTGTACGTGAAGCTATAGAAATCCAGAAACATACGGAGAGCTTCAACAGGAAAGAGGAAACACTAAAACTTAACCAAACCTGGAACCTGATTCTCAAAAACGCAAGAAAGATCCCATTGAGTACAGAAAAAGTTCAGTTTAGCCACGTGCTGCGAAGCCCCGCCCCTACCCCACCACAGCCACTCACACATGAATACAACTTACGGTCGGGAACGCGTTAGTCTGCTACCAGAATCGGACATAGAAGCACCTCTGAAGATGCTAGCCACGCGTGCTAGGGAAACGTCTGCAATTTGCCTACATTTTTAACCAGGGACCCAGAGAAGCCTTTGAAATAAAAACCAGAGTGAAGCAAGGATTTGTCATTGTGCCAAGCCTATTCTTTATATTTGTAGGAACCGTACTTCACGTTGTCCAAGAAAACCTGCCGTTTGGCGTTGAAATCTCCAATAAAACTGATAGAAATGAATCTAAGCAGACTTCGAGTCAAGATCAAGGTATCCATAACAACTGTTCGTGAGCTCGAAAATGCTATGATGATAACGATTTTCTGGCCCACAAACTATTGTAAATACATTTTAGAAGGCATAACGTAAGCATCGGCATGGAACTAAACACGGGTAGGATGGGCATCCTGTAACAGCCTGTCCCAAATTCTTATGCTCCAGGTCTAGCTGTAAATATAAGTATCAATGGAGCACTTCTGAAAATATTTAATACTTTCCATACCTTGGTAGTCATCTTTCGACAAATGCGAATATTGACGCGAGAGCTCAACACCGACTAAAGTTCGTAAGTGCAGCTTTCAGACGTCTTTTGGGGATGTTTCACAACCATGATGTAAGTGTCCAAGCTACGCTCTCGGTCTACAATGCCATCACTACACTAAGGTACCCATGGATAAGTGACACCTAAACCAACTATAGGCGACTCCTCTGAGGTTCTTGGAAAAGTATCACCAGCATTTATCGAGAAATATTCTTGAAATTAATTGGCAGGATTAGCGAACGAACAACAGGATTCTTGAGGAAACCAATTGCATCAGCATTAAGACAATGCTCATCCATTATGTATCCCAACTGGAAAATGACAAGGAGGGCAATATGACCTCTACACAAATATGAAAGCGTGTCAGATCGCCTATGATGAATTATGATGAGATGAGATATTGATATTATGTCTCATTCATTTACGAAAGCCAGCTTGGAGTCTTGAAAGCGATTTTGCGTTTTTATATTCGGGCTTTTCGCTCGATGTTTAACCACAACACTAGAAGTAATTTTAGGTCCATAGTGGTATAGTACTATTGGTACTTAACTCGTTAAATTTTTTTTTTCCACTTTCACATAAATTTATGACAAATTGCAATGCATCATAGTCAAGTATTGCTACACACGTCGCCTGCCTTAATGGACCCCTGAGAAAAGGGTCACCCTCTTAAATTTTTTTCTCAAAAACTGCAATCGTGGACTAATTTATTAATGGGCTCTTTCACTAATTTTTGAAATTGGCATATTTGGATAAAGCAACTAAAAACAGAATTTTCTGTATTTTACTTTTGAAAAATTCACAGTCCTTCTTGAGAAAATAGAAAAAAAAAAATACCTCCAAATAAAAACTCAGAATTTATCCCTATGACGTCGCCGCTTGCATTTTGATCGTGTTGCCACCAGTGGCGACGCCAGGGTTTTACGTTAGGGGGGGCCAGGCTGGGCCAGAAAAAATTAGGGGGGGCACTTGTTCTTACTTTGTTGCTTTTCTTCTTTGAAATAAAAAATGGGAATTTCAAAGTTTACCCGTATATTTTTGCACTCCACCTGAACAGCTTAATTGAATGTAGGTATCAAAAAGGTTTTTATTTGGATTTTGTATACAGGGTGTCCGTTTTTCGAGGACAACCATTGGAATATAGGAAACGGTAAGAGATACAAAATCGGAATCAATGGCCAAATGTGTTACTGCTTTTGGGAGATCAAGAAACTCCGAATACAATTCATAAAAATGCAAACCTCTAATTAAAAAAATTAAGTTGATGATGATCGGCAAAAGACGAAACGTCGGATTTCAAATTTGGCTACACCATTATGTAGAGGGGAGAAAGTTGCCCCAATAAAGTGAAGTTTATTTGAAATACCTTTACAAATGAGTCCAGGAAAATATAGAAATAATTTTACAAAATTTTGATTTCCATGTAGATATCTCCGGAAGTATTCGGAATTTTCCAAATTTCGAAGTAGCGTTTTGTTGAGCAAGAAATTGCGCAATTTTGTCCCAGTTTAACCGAACCTGTATCTCTTACCGTTTCCTATATTCCAATGATTGCTCTCGAAAAACGGACACCCTGTATAGGTAAATCTTCTTGATACCTTTTCAATTAACCGTTCAGGGTCGGTTTCTCGATAGCTAGTCCAGGGTAAACGTGTCCAATTGCAATGTTTACCCTGGAGTTATGGTTAACTGCTCTGACCTGGGGGTGACTTGCTTGCTATTAAGAAACCGGCCTTCAGGTGAGGTGCCAAAAATACACAGGAAAACCCTGTACCTGCTGACACAAATATGTTTGGGGGAATCCCAGAAAAGCGAAAGCATAGTCGCGGTTGCCTGACGCCCACCAAATATCAAATACAGAGAGCAGAGGTTACTCATGTTGCATTGCATTGTTGTCGACATGAGGGCAAGTTTTCAGGGGGGGGCCGGCCCCGCTGGCCCCCCCTGGCCCCCCCTGGCGTCGCCACTGGTTGCCACTAATCGCCAACATTGAAAATTTCTAATAGATTTATTTCGAAATGTTGGCAAAATACCATGAAAAATAGTTAAATGAATTAGCTATGTATTCAGGATTTTTTTTAAAAATTATGCTTAAACACTATTTAAATCTATTTTTTATATTTACTTTCATTATTTTTTTTTACGTCGCATTACATTTAGTCACAACCAACAACAGCGCATTCGAGCCTTCTACTAGACTGTAACGCAGTCCAGCCGATCAGCTGCTCCCAGACATGGGCCAAATGGAAATTATTCAGATGACGTCATCACTTGACGCGTTTTAAATCATTTTGAATTTGGCAAGTTTCAAGTGCCTGTAAAAAACTTATTCAACATTGTAGATCATTTTTTTTGGTAAAAAAAAATATATATGCCTATAATAGTCCCTCCTTTAGGATTTTATACTTAAATTACGAATTTAAATTTGAGTGAAAGAGCCCATTGAATACTTAACATTTACCTAGTATACAGTACAGCTGTCATTACGGAAGAACATCCTTAGACCTTCAAACTCTTTAAAAACAGTTTTTAACTCAATTTTCCCTATAAGGTTATGGACGCCTATCTCCCAAAACATCCCTCGGCAAAATCATAGCCATATTCTACGCCATTGTAGGGGTACCTTTAATGCTCATTCTCCTATCGGAATTAGGAAGCGTTCTAGCTCAAGGCGTCAGAAAAGGATACTCGAAAATCTGCTGTCATAAAAACAAGGAAAACTTTCCTTGTCCCAATGTAGGCTATCACAAAGCTGCCATCGGTTCACCCACAAAAAACTCCTATTACTGTAAAAGTATAGAAGGTAAAGATTGTATTCATAGATTGTATTACATGATAATGAGATTTTAAATTTGAGTTCTGTTTCAGATTCTGCTTCTATACAACTTGGCTCGACACACAGTACCCCAAATCATGTCAGTTTTCAGGCCTCCAATAGTAATCATTATGTGGATCACAATGAAGTACCGAAACGGGCAATCTTGGCAACAGTTAGAGCCAGTCATACAAGAGGGAGATGTAGACAGGGACCTGTGAGGCAAATTTTAGCAGGTAATAAAACACAGAATACCTATTCCTGTATTATCTCTTCACGTTTGCATACATTTTTTTTATTAAAGTAGGTATTTATTTATTTTATACCTACAATATCAGATAATTAAAGTTGTAATAGCAAGCTATTGATTTCAATGAAACACTTGAATTATTCAGATTTAAATAGCCTACATTTGATACCTATAGAAAATAAATGAATTTGCCTTGCGAGACATTTACTTGAATTTGTGAGTTAACATTTCACAAATATAGTTTTTATGTCTTTCCAACAATCTTCTGGGTATTCTCCTCTTGATTTTGAATCTATAATGAATATAAAAAGAAATATCATCTATTTTCAGATCCAAATTGTCCAACACACCGTCACGGTCACGGAGGAGCTTTAAGAAATTCTTCAATAGTTGGAATCTCGACGGACATAGAACTGGACGACGTTGAAGAAAGTGATGAAAATGATCAAGGGTATGATAAGAGAAGTTTTAATAAAATACTTCAGTGTTAGTGCAGCTTCTGAATATTTCTTATATTTATAGATGAATATTTCAATTGAATCCTAATATATACTATATGTTAGGTTTTTTGTAATTAGGGCTCTAGGGCCAGTGTATTAAAAATATACACGTGGCGTAAAAGTGAAAAAAATATATAATACACCACGTGTATACGACGATATACACGGTCTAGACGACGACATACACGGTTTAGACAGGATTATTCTAGTCTGTAGCCATACTTTGAGCTTACGAAAAGTGGAATTTGAATGTGGTGCATTGCTGTTGTGCAAGTCATGCAAGTGTATTGTGACGTATATTAGTGTTGCTATGGCATCATACGGAATTTTCATCCAAAGTCAGCGCTAAGATTATTTAGTGATTACCCCACGCCACGATGAAAAATATCCCATAAGAAATGCATGTAAAGCGTTCTACTCTAATGAACACGCGGCACATAATTGATGATTGCATGTGTATACTAGAATTTTTACGTGGCGATCTGGTCCAGGCTACTGTGTATACCTTAATATACACATGGCAGTCAAAGTATTGAACTATCAATCAGCTCTATTTTATATTATGTATGAAAATTGATCATGTTAAGGTTTAAATTATGAAAAAAAAAACGCATTTTTTACAAGTTTAAGATTTGGTATATGGTACGGGGCTAATCTATAATGAATAGAACTTGAGATAAAAGTTGAAATATTTATCTAATCAATGTTGGAAAAAGTCGTCAGGCACTCTGCCTGTCTTCTCATCCAAAGCTTTTGACAACCGTTACTCGATAGTAGCAACAAAACTTTGGTTTCCATGGCGTTGCTCTGGTCTCTTACATTATTGAGGGCGGAAGCAACACAATTTGTCCTCATCAGTGGAATCACATAAGAAGCCATATTTCCAAAGCAAAATTCAATTATCCACTGATCACATGAAATTAAAACAATTCATATCTACTATATTTAGAATAGATTCCATTAATTTTTCACCCAAAAATTGCACGTTTACATAAACAGTTTGCACATAATCAGACAGATCCACTATCAACAGTCGAGATTTCATATTGATATTTTCATGGATTCCGGGTTCACTAAAACCCACTTTACAAACAGTAAAAACTTTAATTGAACAACTTGACTATAACGTTCACTATCACTTATCGAAGCGTACACAACAAATCTCGAATTAAAACTGACTAGCTACTATTACACGCGCTATTTATCGTAGAAAACGCACTCAGTATCTAACTAGAAAAACATCGAATCAAATATGATAGAATTCTCAGAAAAGACGTGCTCCCATACGTAAACAACGAATTTCCAAGAATAAAATTAAATTGTTCGTACGAGAATCTCGTACAGTTACTGAAATTAAATTAATCGAAATTCTGGACTAGTTATTGTTTGTGATATTATTACAAATTAAAAAATAGTATATTGTGTATTTAGGTGGAAAAGTGACACATTCTCGGCCGACGGTGTAAGTTGACGGGCGAGGCGTAGCCGAGGCCGGCAAACACCGAAGGCCGAGTATGTGCTTTTCCACCGAAATACACATACTATTTTTTCTGCGATCGGTTCAATACCTGGTAAATGTTTATCTTTTAGATCCAATTATTCAGCAGTACGCGAATCACTTTCCCGGCCTAGGCCGGAAAAGTGTTTCCTGTATTGTTATTCATTGATTCCTTAGCAACTATTGAAACATAATTGAGATACCAGAATAATGAGTTTTGCGACCTGTCAACCGGTCAAAAATCCTGACATTTCTTGTCAATCGCAGAAAAATATAATTAAACATGTCACCGAACCAAACACGCAACGTCCAGCAATCATCGAATGTGAAGGCTAAGATCGGATCGGAATCAATACAGAAGTGAGGTAAGAGGGTTGAAAGACGAATAAATAAATGAACCATAAACGGAAATAGAGTAGGTACCTTCTTAATTCCGAGCTGTAGAAAAAGATTACACAAATACAAACATAATATGGCCTATAGACTATCGAAAACAACAAACGGAGAACGGAGAAAACAGATAATAAAAGTCAAGGACAAGAATTACGAAACACAGAGAAGAATCATAAGAGATAGCGGAATATTTCCATAAACAATTGTATAGCAATTAATGCTTAGAGAGAAACAAAACAAAGAAACAGAAAAATCTTGTAATGTTGTTTGGGTCGCCGGGAAACACGATAATGTTAATAAAATCTTGATTATATTGATGGACTGCTGAACAATAACTTTTTACCATACACAGCTTCTTTTACAATCTAAAACTTCTACTACATTCATGGAAACTAAACAATTCAACTATTTTACAACAACAAAAAAAAAAACAATCATTGGCTGACGGTTGTTTCCTTATCCCGTCGCAAAGCAACCCCTTTTCGCAGGTCATTCCGACAGTTTCCTACCTACAGGCGTTTACGGGTTGAAAGACAAGGTCGTCCAGGATGTCTTAGGTGTAATATTACATTCTCCCCCACTAGCCTCCAACTCGCCTCGAGGAGGGGCCAGATTGGTCAACTGGATTCACCTTCTTTTTCGGAGGTCTTCCTCGTTTTCGTATTGGTATCACTGGGGTCACTTCAGAGGTCCCATGTACAGTCGTCAAAGCCCAATTTATAAACTCGCCGTCGAGATTCCGTTTGCAAACGCAAATTTGCGTCGAGCACGCCATTACCAATTAAATATTAGGAATCTCATAAGTTCGTTTATATTCGCCGTCGGCCTCACCGTTCGCCATCAGGCCTGTCGTTCCATATTCCGTGAGATATAAACCAATTTTATATTTTCCGTCGCCGACTCGTAGCAACGATCGTAGCAGATTTTAAAGAGCCAATCAAAACGGGCTTTCACCTGTCACGTGATGTTTACCTACGTCTGGTGGGGAACAGCTGATTATTGAATATTTTGATTTTTGAATATCCCGAGTTTTTCCAAAAACTTACAAAATAAAGATGCACGATATAGCACGAACAAATTTAAAAAAAAAAACAAAGATTCACATGAACAAAAATGAAAAGTTAGGTTAGGTTATGTTTACTTTCAGGATGCAAACGGCAAGTTTATGATTGCTCGAATTTTTTTGACTACGGTAACGGTGAGGCCGACGCAAATGCAGACGCAAACGGAATCCCGACGGCGAGTTCATAAATTGGGCTTAAATCTGATACATGATATATCCCCAAAGGTTGTTGGTTCTTGTTTGTCCGCAACTTCATAGCTTACTGAAGAAACTTTCCTCACTATTTGGTAAGGACCATCTCTTTTTGGGTTAAATTTCGACGTTTTCTGCTTAGCAGCACTGCTAAGGGTATGAGTAGCTATCCAAACGTGGTCACCGACTTTAAAGGATTCTACAGCTTTTCTCATTTTATCGTGCTTCAGCCATGTTAATCAAATAAGGGGTTATCTGTGAATCTGTGGCACACAATTCTCATTTTCAACTATGACTCGAATATCATTTTGTAGGTCCTCAACGGTCCGGAGCTCCCGTCCAGAAATTATATAGGATTCAGTATGACCTGTTGCATCACAATTCTCGGTATTCATTGTAAACCGAATTGTCGGTAGTTTTTCTGCCCAAGTGGTGTGATATCCCCCACTAAAATTGCTAGTCTGGGTTTCAAATCCCAATTTTTGCGTTCAACCATATTCGCTGACGCATGGTACAATGGAATGAATTTTTCCTTGATGTTTTAAAACATACTTGACAGATGTGACGAATTGTGTCCCGTTATCACTAATGATTTTCCTTCTTTATAGAGAAAAGCTCCACCCATTTAGTAGAGCTCTCTTCTACTATAAAAATCCATTTGTTGCCACTAGAGTATCTTCTGGAAGAGGTCCAAATAAATCGATGTAAAGTGTTTCAAATCTCTGAATAGGTTGGCGTTTGTACCAAACCTGCTGGCTTTCGATTTGAGGCGTTATACCGTTGACAGTCGATACAATTCTTCACATATTCCGTCACAACATGTCGCATTCCAGTGAAATAATAACGCTTTGCTATCCGGTGTAAAGTTCTTTCAGCGCCGTAATGAGCAGCTGTTGGTTCGTCGTGATAATTCTTTAAAACTTTTTCCTGTTCATACGTCGGGATAACAAGTTGGGCTTCCTCAGTGTCCGCGTCTTCATAGGAATATTTTTATAGAACACCGTTGACCATGATATACCCTTCATATGTCCATTTGGAAAAATCACCACTTGACCTGTCTTCGAAACTTTTTAATTTAATAATTTTTTCCAAATCAGGATCCTTCAATTGCTCGTTTTGAATGTCTGATGCTGATCGTCTCGGTATTTCTATCGTTACGGTGCAAATGTCACAGAACTCCTTGGTTTCGTGATTGCATGGAGGCCTGGATAACATATCTGCTACTACATTCCTTTTACCAGGTGAATATTCTGTCCTCAGGTCGTAAAGCCCACCGGCTTATCTAGCAGTTGGCGATTTAAGGTTGAGCAACCATCTCAAAGGCTGATGGTCGGTTTGCACAGTTATGGGCATTATTCCGATGTATCCTCTGAACTTGTCAAGCGCCCACACAGCAGCAAGTGTTTCGCGCTCGAACGTCGAGTAGTTCTTCTCGCATGCATGCCCTCGCCTTGTAAAAGTACGGCTCTTATAGGTATGGTTTTTTTTCGTCATTTTGTTGCAAAATTGGGGCTATGATGAGTGCATTTTTCAAAGTATCAAACGAGTTCTGATGCTATTCAGTCCATTGCCATGGTGCGTTTTTCTTAGTTAGGTCACTCAATGGACGTGAAATGGCGGCAAAGTCCTTCACAAAGCGACGATACCAGTTACACGACTGTAAGAAGCAAAGGACTTGCTTAGCGTCATAGGGCGTAGGTCTATTCGCAATTGCTGCCACTTTTTCCGGATTCACAGAAATTTCATCAGGAGTGATCAAATGATCAAGGTATTTGACAATCTTAGACATAAAGTTGCACGTTTCA